GAGACGTTTTAGAGCGGTGGCCCTCAGGTTGTGGGATGCTCTCCCTCCATCATTACGTTGTCTTGATTGTATTTATTCTTTTAAAAAGCAGCTTAGGACACATTTGTGCTGAACGTTTGACTGTGCTGTTTTTATGTATATCTGTTTTTATATTACTGTGAAGCACTTTGTGGTTTTTATCCTGTACAGAGTGCTATATAAATCAATTGAATTGAATTTTTCTGACTGTAATTATTAGGAATAATAGGATTTTCAGCTAAAGCAATATTCACAATAAACAATAAAAAGTCATACCATTCCCCTGGTTCTTTCTCTAACGTCTTTATTGTTCTACTAAATCTCAACTTTAGCAATTTCTTGTAAATGTTTTATAAAACTATTCGTTGGTGCTTAGAAAGTAGTCAGCCTAGATCCAGTGCAAAATCAGGGTTGTAATACAGTGCTACAGTTAGCTCTGCGATCACAGCCAGGTCCAGCTGCTGAAGACAATCATCAGCTTCCAGTCAGCAAAACTGTTGGGTCTGTGCTTCAGCAGGCCTGCTAGTTCAGACTTATTCCTGTGAACAAAGCAAGACAGAACACTTTAACCGTTTCTTAACTTGCTAGTCTCAGACCACTCCAATGAACCAGCGACCCCCCTGCAGCCTTTTATTCTGTGACACAGTTTACACAAACACCTACTGTAAAAAACCCTCATCATCTCCCCTCACCCCTGTATATGGCTTAGCTTCCTCCAAAGGTTTACCCTATACAAACACAGGTGAGGAGAAAGAGCAGGAAGTAAAACATCCTCACTAAATAAGGACACGAGAACCTTACTTGAAATGTCTGCAGTTAAAAACTATAGCTAACTGTCTCCCCCACCATTCGGCAGGCCGGGGAGGGGAACAGAAACAGAGAATGTCTTTGATCACACAATTAAAGTAACACGATGACAACATTTAACAATTTCAACCTAACAAAAACCTTTTTTACGCAAAACTACAAAATTAATTATGACAGGTTTTATTAAAGAGTTAAAGAACCAGAATTTCAAGTTAACTTCCTGTTACTTGATGAGATTGTGAACCAAAATGAGATTGTTATGATCTTAAAGATACATTCTTTAATAAAACATGCATTATAATATATCATAAGGAATTTTTAGCATTTTGAAACACATACATACATAGTTGTCACATGTGTATCTGCTGCTCTTGCAGTGACCCGTGGACAGTATTTATTTTGGGCTTTCAGTCAGTGTGTTCAAAGGGTTCAACACACACCACGGGACAGCAGAAATAAAAATGTATTTTTTCTCTTCACAAGTTGAACTTCTTCATCAGTCTTTTAATCGTGGTGTTTAACAGAGGTGACAAAATAGACACGCTTCACTAAAGTAGAAGTGCAAACACTTATCTTAAAAATACTCTGGTAAAAACTGAAGTACTGAACCAGCTTCTTTATTCAAGTAACTGTGAAAAATTACACCCTAGAAAGTGCCC